AATTGAAACAGGCCCAACAGGAAATAGATTCCTGTATTCAATTAATCATTCGCATTATTATAAACAATATTTACCTGTCTCCCTTTTGAATTAATTAAATTTCTTGTATTGTGATCGTTACTTGGGAAGTTGTGATTTGGTCCAAGCAAATGTTAATATTCTTGGTAATTAAGTTGATAGTGTTAGTAATAATATTCTTGCTATTTTAGGAAATTACAGGATTTTTTATTTATTATATTTTAAGTTGATAGTGGAGCCCGTAATCCACTTACAAGTAGGCATCGTTTTTAAGCACTGATAGTTATTCTACTCACCCTAAATTTATTAATATGTACATATTATTATCATCATCATCATCATCATCGCAGCCCGGAAGTCCACTGCTGGACATAGGCCTCCCTCAAAGATCTCCACGGCGATCGGTCCTGCGCTGCTCGCATCCAATGCCTTGCCTCAATCTTGACCAAATCGTCGGTTCACCTTGCTGGAGGCCTTCCCACGCTGCGTCTTCCGGTTCGTAGTCGCTACTCGAGGATTTTATTGCCCCAACGGCCATCTGTCCTACGAGCTATGTGCCTTGCCCATTGCCACATCAGTGTCGCAATTCTTCGGGCAACGTCGGTCAGTCTAGTTCTTTTGCGGATCTCCTCATTTCTGATTCGATCACGCAGAGAAACTCCAAGCATAGCCCTCTCCATTGCCCTCTGAGTGACTCTGAGCTTGTTCATAAGGCCCATAGTTAGCGACATTATTATAATCATCAACACGCAAGTTTCTTGCTTGTTCTTATTGTTAGGAGTCTGCATGAGCTAAAGAATAAAAAAATTCTGAATGAGCGATAGAATAAAAAAAAATCTGAGGGCTATTCTAAAGTAAAGCACTTTTGAATAGTCCTATGATTTTTTATTGGGTTTTATTAAGTATATATTTGGATAAATATTATTTCCATTTCTGTTTATTCAATCTAATTAATAATATATGAAGTTAATAATAAAAATTTTAAATATCATTATTTTATATTAAGTTATTGGAACTTTAAATATTGATATCATTATAGAGAAACTGTACGTTGATATGTAGTTCGTTTAATTACCTCTTGATTCTGAATGGTATCATTAAGTCAAGTTTCCAATTCGAAATAACTCTCATTAATCAAATCTGTGTCACAACTGTTGATGAACTAATCAATTATAAAACTATCAGCATATTTCATTTATTTGTGTAATGTCATACATATTTACAAATATACATGTCTTAAACTACTTAAAAGATCTAAGTGAACAGACAACGAGAGCGACTTCTTTTTATACTATGTAAAGACGATATTCTGTAAATTAACTGTATTTAATTTTATATATCGTACAAGATTATTTATGTTTATTAAATTAATATTTAATGACTTTATATTAAATTAGAATTTATTTTATGTCCATGTGATTTTGAAAGAATTCTAAATTTTTTTTTTTATACCACTTAGGTGGCAAACAAGCATACGGCCCATCTGATGGTAAACGGCTACCGTAGCCTATGGACGCCTGAAACACCAGGGGTGTCACATACGCGTTGCCGACCCTTAAGAAACCTTAATATACCCTTCTTGAAAACCCCCATGCTGTAGTCTCTCGAGAAAACCTCGGCAGGTAGTTCATTCCACAATCTAATAAAGTGTATTTATTTGTTCCTAAAGTTCCTGCGGGAACGTTTATACCTAGTAATAGAAATAGTAGAAGAAGAAGTTATCTTTATTAAAATAAACTCTATACAAGCATTTTCGAATAGTCATATTTTTTTTATTCTATCACTTTTTTGGAACGCAAATAAATCACAAGAAGAATGAAAGAGAAACTTGTGTGTTGCTCTTTTGAATTTTTTTTTTTAGTAAATACTTACACAATAACAAGTAAGAGGCATGCGATGATCAACATAGAAACCGCTACGCACTCATTCTTAGTGCAATCAGAGAATTATGTCAGTACTATGCTATTTTAAGTTTTTTCTACAAAAACTTTATATACAAACTCTTGCATTTTATAATAAGCATTTTGACAGAAAATTAATATTTAACCAAGTAAAGTGAAATGGTTATGGAAGATAACTGTGTTTAGCTTGTTAGGTATAAACATGACCTTCGTTATATGACTGAAGGTAATAAGGCCCTACATCACAACAGTCATGTGTTAAATAATAAAGTAACACTATAAAATTGTCTACTTTGTGCTGAAAGGATACAAAAGTACGCAATTTACATTACAAATGTACAATGCATCCTTATTTTGAGAGAGGAGCCCATCTGAATAAATAATGGCAATGAGATACTTGAAAGCTGTGAACAGTCTAATGATTACATGAAGTGTTACCATTGTATAAATTACTTAATTTTAAAGTTTCACATTATTAATAATGATATCCCGACGTTTCGACTAGGTTGCAATAATCACAATTAGTGCAACCTAGTCGAACCATCGATGAATTTAGAGAGGTAAATATCTTTATTTACCATAAAATTATTCGTGTTGAGACCTGTTTAATAATATAACATAATGCATATTAAACACGAAAGATAAAAGAAAGTTTAAAAATAATTAATCAATTCATTTTATTCTGATTGCCATGACATTTTTTGCTAACACTCTGAAAGTCTGTTATTGGCTTTCTCTAGAAATATACTGTTATATCTATATATTTGTAAGTTGTTGATTTTCTAAAAGAAATAGAAAATCCTTTATTCAAATAAACTTAATTTAAGCACTTTTGAATAGTCACAGTTATCCTTCTTTATTAGTTAATCTTGTTGATATTATAAATGCGAAAGTTTGTGCGAAAGATGTTGTTACTCTTTCACACAAAAACCACTAAACGGATTTTGATTAAACTTTAAAGTAATATAGCTTATACATCAGAATAACCTGAAATCCCGAGAACACCTAGTAAATAATTAAATGAACAGGTTTTAACACGAATAATTTTATGGTAAACAAATATATTTATATAGGTTGCACTAGCAGTCGGCTCTTAATCGAAATGTCGAGAGAGGTAACTTTATTTATAATAAAAATTAATCGTCTTTAAATCGGTTTAATTATGTGAATAAATATTTTTTCCTACTGAATTATGTTCAAAATGCTTTTATTGTAATCAATAGAGATAGGCTACTAGTCTAAAGTAAAACTCTTGTGACCTTATTCGCGTGAATTTGAGTAAAAAGAATCATACGTGGTAATTCAGAATATGACTTCCCTGTGTACCGAAAATTTGAATCTGTCCAGTAGTCTTTATATGACAAACATTTATCAGTCTATCCTTATAAACATTCGAATGTATAATATAGTAAAGAGACACAAAATTTTTAACTAAACATCGTAAAAAAATTGTTTAAAAACGGTAGTGACTGAATCTTGGCTGAATCTACAATCTGAATAACGAATTCAAGGCTACTTATTTTAATAAACATTATTACTATTCTAGGATGGACAATAAAAAAATATATTCAAGATTTATTTTTATTATTTTTGATTATTGTATTGAAACAATTTTGGTAAATAAATAATAATTATTAGTAGATTTAAAAGGTCTACATAAGTGGATTAACGATAACATTCATATGTATGCGTACTATTTTTTTATGGTTTCTTAAAAAAAATTACGATTCTAATTAATAAAATTATTTAATTAATTAATTCTTATCATTGTTGATACCAGTTAATTACAAACTGCTCATTCTGTCTACTCTATAAGATATCTGGCGTGAAGGTAAATATCTAATTACTAAACTATCAGGAAACAATTGATTTAATATAACAGATTCAGTGGTAACCACTAGGGTTTAGCAGATCGCCTTACTTGATAGTCGCGGGTTCGAACGGCATAAGCATTAAAATTAGTATTCATGAGTATGATTGTTTGATCGGTCTGGGTGTTTTCAAAGTATATGTTTGTATTTACCAAAAAAATACATATCTACGTATTTGTAATAGTTATCTAGTACCCATAACACAAGCTTTATTTAGCTTGACTTGGATCTAGATGGCGCTATATGAATTGACCTAAAATTATTATTATTATAAAATGAACTTATTCAAACCCGTAAATGTACTTCATACAAACGTAAATAAACACGGTTAAAAGAGATACAAAATGACCCATCACGTTATTATCGTGGGGCTGAAATAAGAAGCGTGTGATAAAGGGTTGAATTTATGAACATCTGCCGTCAACTTGACGGGGAAAGATAACCTTGTTCTAAGGAAAAAGTGAGGTAACTCTCCCCACTCGGAGTATAGGGTGGGAATAACAGAATTGTTATAGAAATTTAATATATTCTATGACTTACTCGGTTAGCACGTTGGAAGTGTCAAATAAATAGGAGAAATGTATTTTTATATATTCTAGCAACTTTTTTGTCTCTTTTATTTGTTACTAACATTTACCAGCGACTTCCTTTGCCTAGAAAGTAACTTTTTAAAATTGAAATAAATAAAATATCCTAACTTATTTCTTATAACATTAGCTATGTGATAGTGACAGTCCCGTCAAAATTAGTGCAGCTATTATAGAGATTAGGAAATGAAACAGATTTTTTTTAATATTTTTATACGTGCCGTAAATACCTTCTTATAAAAGCACAGTGAAAAACTACTAATTTTAAAATACAAACGGACAATTCTATTTTATTTACTTTGGTGATTCAGTGGTCTAGCACGCCGGTTTACTTCCGATGGTCGCAGGTTCGATTCTTCGCACGGTACAAACATTTGTATTCTTGTTGTTTTTGTCTGTAGTATGATTGTTTATCATCAACAAACGCAGACTGGGTTTGTTTTACATATAATACATGTATGTATGTACAAAAACTAAGTATGTACTTACCAAGGGACTAGGTGACGTTGCGTAAATTGTCCAGGTATATTATTATTATTATACAGTAAATGATTTATGAATTTTGAATCGTGAAATTTGAATTTTGAATTGAAACTCACAATAAATATAACTATTGTTAACAGTTGGCGAGATCTAACCAGAGCCAAGTGGTGCTGACCCGGGTCAGCTTTGGCCTGTCCGGCAACTTTAGTTGTGAGGTCACAGCGGACGCGCCCTCCTTCGCCACATCCATTGTTTCTAACAACATGGAGGTAGTTGGTAAGTTATTAAACTGTGTCTCAAATTATACAAATAATAATAGTACTTAGTAGTCGTCTAATAGGCGAAATTCGACCATAATTAATTTAAATTACAAGCAATATATAAAAAAAGATTATTGTTAAATTACTATAAAAATGTGTATTTATGTGTATAGATGTATCTAGGTGGGTAAGTATCCATAAATATATATAACTCAAAGGTGACTGACGTAGTGATCTATCAACGCACAGCCCAAACCACTGGACGGATCGAAACTTTGTCCATTTTGAAATTTGGCACGTGCATCACCTAAGAAAGGATTTTTATATATTGCCTAAGGGGATAAATTAACGCGAGCGAAGCCGCGGGTAAAGACTAGTTAAGATATATATTTCTATGTGTGTGTGTCAAATAGATAGAGTGTGTAATATTTTGTTATTGATTTACTAGCTGACCCGCGGAACTTCGTCTGTATTATTATATTTATCTAATTTTCACAATATCTTTTTAAATTATAACTTATCTGTTATTCTAATGTAGAAACCATATTACTGTAAATTTTTATCAAAATCCATTCAGTAGTTTTTACGTGAAAGAGTAACAAACATCCATCCATACTCACAGACTTTCGTTTTTCATATTAGTAAGTATAAGTATGTATTTTTTGTATATAATTGAAAAACAGTATTAGTATCTGTATTCGTTATATATATAAACTGTAAGTCTGCGAAATTTCATATCCCTCTTTAACAGACTTTTTTCTTTTTATTCGTTTATGTCGGTCTTAGTGGTTTAACGGTTTAGCACACCGCCTCAGTTCCAATGTTCGCGCATTTTATTCTCGCACGATATCATTTGTATTCAGGATTGTCTGGATTCTATTGGTATCGGTGTTTTGTATATATACATTTAAGGAAATTTGAGTATTTCTATCAGTTATTTAACTTTCATAGAAGAAACTGTTTAGTTTGGGACTAGATAATCCTGGGTTAGTATTTATTGTAATAATAACCCTGGATAATTCACACAGGATCATCTAGTCCCAAGTCAAGCAGAGCTCGTGTTAGTAAGGTAGTAGACAGCTGATATAAATACTTAAATAGTTTGTAAATAAGTAAACAAAAATACTCAGACCAATATACAAATGAATACAATTTTTGCACCGTGCGAGGAATTGAACGCGCGACCATTAGTAGTAAAGCGTGCTAATCCGCTAAACCAGGCCGTCATGTGTATGTCTGAAATCTTGCGTTAAACCGAAATATCTAGTATCCATTAGAACCGAAATAGGAGGACTGAATAACAAAAAATGAGCATTGTTTATATATTTTTATATTACTATGGTGATATATATATATACCATCGATGGTAAATGGTTACCGTAGCCTATGGACGCCTGAAACACCATCTAACAAAATATGTTGTTTACAAATAATAATTCAGATACGTTATGAGTTTACAACGATATAATATAGTCATATTTTCAATATAGTATCCGTAATTGAATTTACAAAACAGATAAATCAGTCATATAAGAGCTCTATAATGTTCATACTGATTATTTATACTATAACAAAATAAGATAATAAATTCTTTAATATATAGAGATATTCAATATGTGGATGTTTGGATGTTACGTGAAATATTTATGATTCATATAAATGTTTGACCAAAGACTTTAGTATACTTTTGGTATACTCCTACACAATCAACATTTTAATAGAAGGTGTTGATTAAGTGTATTTGTTTTGACGATCTCGGTGGTCTAGCGGTCTAGCACACCGCTTTACGTCCGATGATCGCGGGTTCGATTCCTCGCACGGCACTAACATTTGTATTCATTAGTAGGTATGATTGTTTGTGTCGGTCTAGGTGTTTTTTATATAATATGTATGTATTTACGAAAAAAAATATATCTATGTATTTGTATCAGTTCATAGTACACATAACACAAGCTTTAGCTAGCTTAACTTGGGTCTAGATGGCGCTGTGTGAATTGTCCTGAGATTATTACTATTATTATTTTGTATATTTTTCCATATATCAGGCCAAGGTCAATTCATTAGTTTATTATATTTTCATCATTATATTTTATTATTACAATTATTAAATCAACAAAATGGTTGATTCTCAAAATATTACAGTTACGTATCTATATTGGCGCACAGTGCACTTACACAAGCCAAAATAAGTGGGTTAAGTGTATCTCTCATCTCAAAGTAGTGGGACGGGTATGCCTATGTTTTAACGGACGCCCCCGAAAATGCCTACAACTGAATATCTTTTATCTTTTCTATATATAAATCTCGTGAAAAGAACCTTTGAAGTACCTCTTCTATCTGTTATCCTTTTATTTTATTTTCAAAGGCATAATAAATATATATTTTATAAAGATTTGAATACGAAAAAGGGTTTGTAATAATAAATTAGATTTATACAAATATTGGCGGCAGTAATTGCATTTAAATCAGACTGTAGTTTAATCCGTTTTATGTTCCGTGTATTGAAATGTATAATTTTTAATATAATTTATATTTACACACTTAAAAACTCTTTAATATATGTAGAGATCGAGAGTCGAACACAAATAAATAAAGTAGAAATTGAATGTTTCGTATTAAAATAACGATAAATGACTGGCTGTGTGAAAGTTTTAATAAATACTTTTAATTGTTCATTTTGCGTCTTTGGAAGAGATATATGGCAGTAAATTACAGAGTTATTAGTCCTATGGAATTATATGGCATGAAATACACCATCGGCTTCAAATAATTATGTGGTTTTGTTTATGGATGGATTCTAATTACATAAAAATAAAATTTATTTATTTTTATGTAATTAGAATTTGTTTCATTTAAATTTATGGCCCATATGGACGCCTGAAACAACAGAAGTGTCATATACGCGTTGCCGACCCTTAAGAAACCTTAATATACCCTTCTTGAAAAACCCCATGCTGTAGTCTCTCGAGAAAACCTCGGCAGGTAGTAGCCACAATCTAAGGATACGCGGGAGAAAGCTCCTCTGAAACCGCACTGTCCGAGACCACTTAGGTTCCAGCATGTGGAGATGAATTCCCTGTCGATGGCGAGCGGTGCGATGGTAAAAGGTAGCCGTAGGCATCATGTCAAACAATTCATCAGAACACAATCCGCTGTATAATCGGTAGAACACACAAAGCGATGCGAAGTCTCGCCTCAAGCTAAGTGGTTCGATACCGTTTGAGAGATTGGGATCATCGAAAATCTCATAGCACGTCTCTGAACCGAGTCAAAAGGACCGAGCTGGTGTCCAGGTGCTCTTGCCCAAAGATGAGAGCAGTACTCCATGTGCGGTCGAACCTGCGAATTGTATAAGAGAAGTCTCTGATCCGCAGTGAAGTACAGCCTCGCTCTAATTGGAAAGAAACTGGCGGCCCACCTACCGGTCGAATATATATATGAACTACACTACAGATATCGCGTTATCATGTAACACTTACGATATCAAAGGTTATCATTCCAGAGGACTAAGATGTCATGTCTCTCATCCTGTAATTTCCATGCCTAATTTGCATCCTAAATCCGAAACAGCTTACAAAGTTGCTTCGCAGCTGGAATAGGTGAAACTAAGGTGTGTGGATGAATTCTATGCACTCCCCCTCAAATTCGGAGTCATTTTTGCAGTTTGTATGAACTGGGTAATAGTCACACATGTATCAAAAAGGTCACTTTTAAAAGAAAAAGCAGAAACTGAAACGCAGACAACCTTTTCAGATTACCTTTTGTATCTATACATATAAATAAAATTGGAGTGTCGTTTGTTATATTGAAATAACCGTTTTTACTTCTCGCATATGAATATAAATACGGTACATACACCAAAATAACATTTTTACAATTTTTGTCTGTCTGTCGGTCTGTTTGTTCCGCCTAGTCTCTGAACCGATTGTTTGGACCGATTTTGACGGGATTTTTTTTGGCAGGTAGCTGATATAATAAGGAGTAATTTAGGCTACTTTTATTTTAGAAAAATAAAGTTAAATTCCATGCGAACGAAGTCGCGAGTACAGCTAGTCTCTCATAAAGTCTATCCACCTTGTAAAAGAAAAAGGTGAAACTAAGGTATCCACGCATATAATATTTCCGTTTATATTTCTTATGGTTTTATAATTTGTAACAGTGCTGCCACCTGCAACACCATCAATACATACAAGCCAGCACTACTACACCCCAGGGGATGTGATGAAGGCCAACTGCACATCAGGGCCGAGCAGGCCTCCGTCCGTCCTCTCGTTCTTCATCAACGATCTGCTTGTAAGTATTCTTTCACATCTTTCATAATAGATGTAAGTATAGATATATAATTATTACTACTTTATTAATTTAAAAAAAAGACATATTCTATTTCACAATTAAATATACTTTAATTAACGGTCCTCTAGCAGTATAGTACACCGCTTTACTTCTGATGGTCGCGGGTTCGATTCCTCGCACGGTACAAACATTTATATTCATGACTATGATCGTTTGTATCAGTTTGGGTGTTGTATATTATGTATGTATTTACAATCACTAATTATCTAAGTATTTATATCAGTTGTTTAGTACCTATAACACAAGCTCTGCTTACCGTGGGACTAAACTTATTTATTTTATTAAAAAAAAATATAGGATTTGTTATCATATTATTGTGATTTCGTTGTTGTTGTATTAATAAAATATATTTATTTTATATAGTTGTGCATATAAATAATATATTTTTTTAGTTCATTCTATGTAAATTTCAATAAACCCCTTTTTTATTGTGTGGAATAATCTTCAAAGACATGGGGGTGTGTAGGATTCTTACCCACTAAAAACCACACATTTACGAGCCCAATTGCCGGAGTCGCGAGATCGCGTTAGCATTCTCCCGAGAACTAAATAAAATAAAAAAGAAAAATTTTTTAGAACTGTGATAATTTACATGATTTTGACACGAATAATTAAAGTAGATAATTCATTATCTGTCAAGTATAATTGAACTTTTGTCATAATCGTTGCTCCTTAATGCTATTTATCTAAGTATTATTTACACCCACACACACACATACATACACACACATTTTCCTACGATTACACCAAGCTACTTAAATTGTAAAATATCTTAACAAATTCACTTAAAGTACACCTCAATATTGAAGAGGACTTTAACTTTTGAAACACAGGTATTTTCTGTACCTACCTCAGAAGTCAGGGACTTCATAAATTATTTGTAAAAAATATGTGAAATAAATAAATTATTATTATTATTATAAGTATGTATTAAGTCATTCATATTTTGAGCTATACTTTATCCTACTCCATACAATAGTACTATTTTTAAGGATCAATATGTATATTTAATACCTGAGTCACCAAACAGATGGAATCAAAAATATTTTTTTTTTATAATCCATTTTTTTTAATCATCATTACATAGTATGAAATAAAATCTCGCTGTATGTCCGTCCCTTATGTATGCTTAAATCTTTAAAAGTACGCAACGGATTTTGAAGCGTTTTCTTTAATAGATAGAGTGATTCAAGAGGAAGGTTTATATGTATATATAATACATGTAGGTAGTATATACATAAAGTATTAAGCTTGAATAGCTAATGCAATTTTTTTTAAGTATTATAAAACCATTTTGTAGATTATTTAATTCATAATTTTTGACATATTTAATGGAGATGAAAGAAATAAATTGTTACATTAAACTGTATAGCGTTATTATAGGATACAGTACAATGTTTATCTCGGCATCAGACAGTTTGACAACATAATATCTATGCGGATCATGCTTGAGGCAGTTTACAATATATCTTTGTACGACATGACTGTTTTACAATATAATATTACAATCTATATGCATGTCTTTATATGTATAACTTTAACATACATTAGATAGATCTCTGCTTCGTATCCTGTTACGTATAGATAATTTTAGTTAAAATTCGATTTTGTGATTTTTACATAAGCATCTCTCTACTAAAGTAGTCATCTGCTTCTTTATCACATACATTCATTCGTAATATGTTTTTCTCTTCCATTTATTTCTATTCGCAGTTATATCGTTATTTACTCCTATTCTTATCATTTCATCTTCAACAAAGTCCATCTATCTCTTTTTCGACCTTACTCTGCCGTTATAACCATCTACATTTATATGTTTTATTAAATTACAAGTACATGTGTGCACTAAAATTCACAGAAATTAAATTAGTGGTTTAAACAATAATAATAATCTCCCTAGACAATTCAAACATCTAGTCACAAGATAGTCCAGGGTTATTATAATTATTTATTTCTTTGAAGTGTAGAGTATATAAGTAATTGTATATACATGCGTGAAATCACTCTGTGTGTGTGTATATTGTACATGAGAGAGGGTGTACTTTGTACAAAATTTACCTCGGTATAAAAATATGAAGTTAATATCAAAATATATTAATGTAATTATAATTTCAAGAATTCTCATTACCTTAACACGTTATTCGTCTGAATATCTTATTTAATACTCAGTAAGAACAATACTAAAATCCTTTATATACTAAAATCTCCGAGCGCACGCCGTAATATCTGCGAAATGGCTAGTATTAAAACTTGCCACTAGCTACTGAATTTCAGAAACAACTAGCTTATTCCGAGTTGTACGGACGCTTCAGTTGTGTTTAGTAATAAAATATTAAAATTTTAAGTCATTGTTAGCTCAGATGTATGTTTATGAATGTAAATCAAGCATTAGATGAAAATTGCGTGTTTAAAGAAATTAAAATAAGACGGTAGGTAACTGTTGCTGAGAATAAAATAATGCTTACTATAGAAAACGGATGAGATAAAAAAAAAAGCAGATGATGATGCTTACTAAGGAAAACGTTTAACAATCAAGTTCTTCTCAAGCGATGTATCTACTTGAATGTGACGGTTTAGACGGTCTAGTGTTGAAAAGAAAAATTAAACAATTGCCGGTCTAGTATTGAACGTAAGACCTTCGTGTTTAAAGAAACGGATATAAGATGGTAGGTAACAGTTGCTAATAATGAAACAATGCTTACTAAAGAAAATGTTTAACAATCAAGTTCTTCTCAACTGTTGTATCTACTTGAATGACACAGTCTACATGGTCTAGTGTTCAAAAGAAAAATAAAACAATTGACGGTCTAGTGTTGAACAGAAGACCTTAGTGTATAAAGAAATGGAAATAAGACCGTAGGTAACAGTTGCTGATAATGAAATAATGCTTACTAAAGAAAACGTTTAACAATCAAGTTCTTCTCAACTGTTGTATCTACTTGAATGACACAGTCTACATGGTCTAGTGTTTAAAAGAAAAATAAAACAATTGACGGTCTAGTGTTGAACAGAAGACCTTAGTGTATAAAGAAATGGAAATAAGACGGTAGGTAACCGTTGCTGATAATGAAATAATGCTTACTAAAGAAATCGTTTAACAATCAAGTTCTTCTCAACTGTTGTATCTACTAGAATGACACAGTCTACATGGTCTAGTGTTCAAAAGAAAAATTAAACAATTTCCGGTCTAGTGTTGAACACAAGACCTTCGTGTTTAAAGAAATGGAAATAAGATCGTAGGTAACCGTTTCTGATAATGAAATAATGCTTATTAAAGAAAACATTTAAGAATCTAGTTCTTCTCAACTGATGTGTGATTGAATGACGGTCTAATGTTAAAAAAAAATGAAGAATTGACGATCTAGTATTGAATATAGAGTTAGTTTAATTTTTCTTTTTGATGCACAAATCTAACTCTGCTAACTGCGAAAGATGCCCCACTGTAGAAGATTTGCATCACATATTAATGGAATCTCTCCGAGACGTAGCTAAAAGAGAATTTTGTATAAAACTATCTTGGACTGAATCCGCTTAATGTTTGTATATGAGTTCTCGTATCCTCGCCAACAATTTTATTTTTAATTATATAGTAGACCATACTATACAGACTAAGGAATACAGTATGATGAGACTGGAATTATCTTACTATGGTATATAAATCAAAGATTTAAAAAAATGAGGTGTATAAGTTACAAAAATATATCTAGTATACACAACACAAACTCAATATTATTATTAATATATAGAGTTCAATATAGAGTATAAAAATATACACATATTTTTAACGTGTTTTATTGTTCACTGCATCAGTAGCTGCTATATCGACCATATCGTAGCTACAAGAGGAGTATTTCCGAAAACGGCCTTCCAGCAACGAAACTTTTATGGATTTCGCATGGATATTAAATTTTATAGTTCACATTTCTCTGTGAGTGTGTTCACCCGTTCGCCTGTATTTTCGATTGGAATATAACAAACTTTATTCCAATAATAAAAAGTACAAACATTGAGCATTGAATATGACAAAAGTTCTCAAAGAACGGCTTGTTAATTTCGTTCACACAGACGAATACTTTTTTTTAACTGGTATTTTTAAATTTAGAATGCACGCCATTTTTTCTGAGCAGCTAGGAATTTGATTCAAATCAGATTTAGGGGATCTAGTCTGAAATACTGATAGAGTGCTGCCAAATAATGATCAGCAAAATTTTACGTTTTTTTAGTAAACTCAAATTATTATCAGACCAATCGAGATTCTTTAGAGTAGATTAAAATACACTAATATTTGACTGATTAAAAAGGCTAACCTATCTATAACATCAAACAAAGTTTTTAATACAAAACGTGTGAACCATTGAATCTAATTTCGTATTTATTATTTTATAGTAGAGTTTCTCAATAAGAATTTGTTATGAAAGGTTCTAGTAATCCTATTTGCGAATATTTATAAACATATTACATATACATAATTAAAAGTTGAGCAGTCTGTAAAACTAAAACAACGATTTAAAATCAAACTAATCTGAGAGACTGCGGGACGCTCGCCCCCTGGCATTTTAAATTCAAATATAGCCAGTGAAATATGGGCATGTCATGTTTTGCGTTCATCGGGATGTCGACAGCTGATATTGCTTCTGATCTGAGATAATAGACAGAGAGTAGAGAATATTATATTATGTCGTGGATTAGTGGTTTCCTACTCAGAATTATGCCCGAAAGGTTGATAGTGAAAATTTGACCGACAACAAAATAATCTATGTGTGACACACAAAGTTTCATCTTCATCGGAGAGTCATTCAGAAATTTGAATTTCTGTATGACTCGTTGATGAAAAAATATTGATATCAAACCAGGGTTGTCCTCTGCCTCGTTAGATTGAAAAATATAGCGGGTAAAATGTGAGTGTCAAATTTCACACTGACAATAGCATCAACAGTTGATAATACCTCTGACTACCCTACCTGAGATAAAGTTGTGAAGTTATTACATAATATATAGCACTATTTGTATGGTTACTTATAGTATATATGTATGTATACTTAGGTAACTTTATTCCAACATTTATTTAACCTTTCTTATCTCTTACCTAGGTGTCACCAGGCTTGTACCAAGCACATCCAGCGCCTGAAGGACTCTTCAGATCAGAACTGTACGTCCAGATCCAACTATGGCCAGCCCACTACGAGAGGGGTGCGCCCATTCTCCGGTGTGAAGCCAAAGTAGGAGAACTGTATAAAGAAGACTCCGCTGTGGCGTTGTACTCAGCGAATAGTGATCCTAAAATTGAAAGAGGTTGGTATCATAATCGATTGCATCATCATTGTATTATATGACGTTTTTTAACGGTTGACAATAAATTGGTGAACTAACGGTACAAGCTGGCGGGGCACTCATCACGAGGCACGGGGCAGCTCATCGTTGATAATTTACCACGAATTAATAACAATGATTTCGCGGAGAAGCGTGGAGGTTCACCTGATAAATTAGATTGCTAGCAACGGGATTCCTAATCTCTACATACTAACCACTCTCTTCTCACAATTATACTTGGATTGGTGGATTTCGGTCATTGGGACATTTAATTTTTTGTATACTTAAATTATTTTAATATTAACTACAAGCCCCAACTTTATAGATTATTATATAATTTTATTTTGTTTTGAAAATAGAATATAACTTACTGTTACCCCAATATCGTGTGCTTTTGTGTATCACGATGAACTGCTGCAATCCGCAATATTAATTTTAAAAAAATATATACAAAAAATTCAAATATTTCCTGTTTGTAATATTAATATAGTACCAATAATACATCCTTAGCCGTCAGATAAATAAACCGGATATATAATGCCAATTCAAAACCGGGTCGTACAACCTTATAACCGGTCACAATCTCGTTTTGGATGGAAATTGATTCCGGTTGAAGTGACGCGAAGTGCGTCGACGACGTCATTCCATTCATAAAATTATCATAATCTGTATCATTATACGTAAAATGTTCATATACAGTTGATCCGGGTTTCGACCGGCAAATCCGGTTTTGTGTAGGGTTGGCACATTTTAGTTTTAGTGGTCTGGCACATCGCCTTACTTTCAAATTTCCAATGCATTCCTAGCACGATGCAGACAATTGTATTCATAAGTATGAGTGTTATTGATATCGAGCCTAGTAGCATTTTCGAATATAATCGTTTAGTTATCAATATTTTTATCACCCACGATTTTCTTTTTCAATAATTCGGCGTTGAGCGTTGGACGATACAAACTCAAATCTTGAAAATTTTGGAATTCGACTTAAAGCGTAAATATCTAAAGCCAATTTCCCAAAGGTAATCATTTTTATTTTTGGTCAAGTATGAATATAAAAAAATGTAACAATGGTAACTAACCAGTGTCGTTGGTACCCAGTAGAAAAATGACTAATAATAATATAATGTATTATGAAAAAAGAAAAAAAAAATAAGCGATTAACTGCGAGAAGCCACAATGCACATTATTCGCGGAGTAATAAAGGCGAGGAAAAAATAAATAAATAAAGAGAATCAATAAAAAAAATGCAAAAAAGGGCATGGAAAGTCTATGGAAATAAGGGCGTAACTAATAACAAAAAAAAATATATATATGTAACCTTCATGGCCATCTACTACCTACACTTTACTTTTTATTTATATGAACATTCGAAATTTGAAATTTAAAATCATAATTACATACATTTGATATCACAACATGGCGTATTAAATATACATTTTTATTATGTAAAATTATTTAGGTAATATAAAACATTAGAGAAAAAGACTAGATAAAGATAAAGTTATTAGTTTTATGGTCTTTTATTCAATGGTAATTCCCTTCTTTTATTAAATAACTATCACATGTAGTATTTTTAACATTCTGGATAAATATTGTTGGTTTTGTGAATTATATTCTAAGAATATACTGTACATCCCATTACCCACTTTCAACGTTTTCCGACGACCGGAAATTCATTTTCTTACCTTATAAATGGTCACGTATAGTATCGTATCAGAAAGTTTCTTACCTCCTACGCTCAACTTATGGAATGAGCTTCCTCTCAAGATTTTCTCCAGAGACAAAACTAAAAGTTTTTTTCAAAAAAGAGACAGCTTCCTTTCTCAACAGACGGATGCATACTTCAATTGTAATAATTCATAAATAAACAGACTTATATTCTAATTATTTATTTACATTATTATTTCTGATATGTTAATTATGTACAACAATAATAGTTTTGTCTCATATATCGTTTATATACGATTACCAGTAAGATTTTTACTATATGTATAGATATTAATTAGATTGCATATTGTTTTAAATTATGACTACGGGTGATGAAATGCCTGCGCTAACGGTTTTCGCTGATGGGGCACCAGTGAAGAATGATATAATGAACTTGAGGTTAGGTTAGTTAGCCAAACTCACCAGAAATATTAAACATACACACAGATATATAGACACACTTTCGTATTTATAATATTAGTATTGTTAATACTGATATTCAGAATTAACACAGATAATATTACATCTTATACAGCTGTGACTTGATCGACATTTTACTGCGGCTGTACGCCGTGCAATATTGTGTATCTGTGGCGCATTACGTTTTGCGCGGGAAAGTGAGTGACACTAAAATAAAGACTACATCTGCAGACATATTAATTTGTTGTGTTCTTCGCTATTAATTGTTGTACATAACTTAATATGTCTTAATTTTTAATTCAATATACTACCTACATCAAATCAAAATATATATATTCATGTAGGTCTATTATATTCTTATGATATGTCAAATCTACCGGACTGATTTCGAGATGAGAAGAACTGACAAGAAACCAAACTCGCGTTCTATTCAAATATAGTTGTACATGATTACAATAATACAGATTCATTTTTAAATTCAAATTTGGAAGAATAGAGTGACCGTCAGTATATGCTATAGCAATTTTGTCAATGGCAATATATAAATCAGGTTGTTATATATATAAATTATATACAACAACCTGAGTATAAATCTTGCCCTTACTAACAAGTATAGATATGAATATGAGTTCTACTAGATGTACGTAGTAGAGTATCCGCGTAGAATACAGTTTATGTTACGTACTAACAATCTATCTATGAATGAAATTATTTTCAAAGTCGGTTAAGAATTTTTTAAGAATTTATATTCGTTACAAATAAACAAACATACAAAAAGATCTTACCTATTTATAACAATATTGTAATAAAGTATTAACAATAACAATAATTAGCATTTAGCGTTAATTCACTCCGGAAGTGTCCCAATCGCTCGCACAAATTATACAAACCGGAAATCTACATCATAGCCGGGCCCGAGTACCATTAACCCTTGTAAAATGCGATATATTGAAGGGAAACCGGGCTAATAAGATTATAGGCACCAAAGAGAGCATTGAGGGCATGAATTATTGCTTCCCGACTCATTTGCGAAGACAATTTCCTCTGAGGCAACAGAGGGCCGTTGTTGTGAGATAATAAATTTATCTTCGACGCATGGCGCGAGGGCGTCAACGGACACTGGCTTATATATACGCGCGTAAATCACTTGCCCATATTATTATTTCTAGTCTTTTTTTTTACTAAGCAGCTTTACGGCTTTGGATAGTCAGTAACAGGCAAACAATTACATTGATATAAATATATTCACAAACGATATAGATCATACTATATAGTACATTTATTAACATAGATTCATTTGCATCACACTTATCATTATATTTCACCCAATTTACAAACTCGAAATTCTAAATTCTAAGTTAGAATTCAAAATACAAAAATTCATTTCTTTATTTAGATAACACAATTTTTACTAAGTTCTATATGTTGTTGAACTCTCCTTTTAACCATAAAAATGCCTGTGTTAGGAGGATCCCCTCTTCCATAGGTTCTATAGTATGTTTTAAAGTTATCTATCTGTTATTCTTATATAAAAGTTATATTAGTAATATAACTTATAATCCGGTTAATATATATACACATCAATAAACTTTTATGTTTTTTTTATATAATAGTATTAGTAAGATTAATAAAAAGGACAAGATGGTCTGAAAAGTTATCAGTTTTGCGATCAAATTAATGTATAAAGCGCCTAAAAATACCGTAAATGTGGGAGACTACCAAGAGGCTCATCTGGCAATACTATTTGTTTATACAAGTTCATATTCAATGCTATAAGGACGCTATAGATGTAATTAATAGCTGATTTGTATTTGTACAATGTAATTATTTGGCTGAAAGGAAATTTCCAGGGCCGTAAGATACATATTAAAAAAAGATAATTCGGTCATTGAAGAATTTATAAATGTAAATAATAATGTTTTTGTACAAAATATCTAACTTAAAATTCATAGCGCTGACAATGTTATCTGATTGAACAGAGATTAAGTGCGTAGCGGTTTCTATGTTGATTGTCGCATGCCTAATCCTTGTTAATGTAAATCTAATTGAAACAATATTTAATTCAAAGAGCAACACACAATTTTCTCGCTCATTCTTCTTGTGATATGTAATATTTTAATTATTCTACAGGTCATTTGGAATGCAGACTCGCATTCCAAATGAGCGATAGAATAATTAAAATATTTGACTATTCAAAAGTGCTTATATTAAGTTTATTTGAATAAAGATTATTTTTATTTCTATTTTATTGATGTGTCTTAGTTCTAATTATTAATCAGGTCAATGAAAACGTTTCATTTTTTAACGTGGGCCAAGATACACATTATAAAAATCGTGACACTAAATATAATTAGTTTAACAATTAGAAAGTATCCCATATAAATACTATGACGCTAGATTTACAATAATGAATCTTCATATTAAAAAATAATAACAAATATATGTATAGATAGACAGATAAATTCTTTATTCAACGATTACAAACACATAGCATACATGAGATACATTTTATAAATAGAACTAAAGTTTACTAATTAAATATGCAGAAATATTCATTCATTCATAATTTAAGATCTGTGCTCTTGTCGGTGGAGCTCCCGCCATCTTCCACGATCTTCTATCAGTCCTTTTAGCTGTTGATACGACACGACTCCAACTTTTTCTTTAACTTGCTTGATATACAGCTAGTGTCTTGGTCTTCCCCATCCTCTCTTTCCATCCATTTTTCCTTCAATAATGTTGTTAATTAGTTCGTCGTGTCGTATCAAGTGCCCAACATTTTTCCCCGCCTATTCTCAATAATAACTATGATCTGTCTCTTTTCTTTAATCCTCTCAAGCACTTCTTCATTCCTTATTTTATCTTTCCAGCTAATTCTTTCCATTCTTCTCCAACACCACATTTCAAAGGCTTCCAGTTTGTCTCTTTCCTTTTGTATCAATGTCTCACAGGCATACAAGGCTATACTCCAGATGTAGGTCTTGATAAGTTGTTTCCGAGAGGACTTTGATATATTAGCTTAAAAAGATATTTTTTATCATTAAACGCTCTTTTTGCAATAGCTATTCTAATGCAGAAGTATAATGTTACAAAATAAAAAATGGTGATAGCTTCATGTGTCGCAATGATGAAGAGGCAAGCAACTCAGCATGAAGCTACAGATAAGTATGCAGCGCTGATATTCTGTTGGCTCCTATATTAAATACATACTTACATACATATATACGTGAATGTTTATATATTAAACGTCGAGCTCTTAAACAATTATACAATATATAAATAGATTAAAAGTGATGTTATGTGTTATGTTATACATATATTATTAAACTATACAACAAAATAACTTAAGACAAAATAGTAAATTCTTCAAACATAAGAAATAACTAGAGTTACGTACAAAACGCGTGTAGAAACTAGTACTTACAATAGAAAGACAATATTCATTACTGTCTTTATAGTGTAGGTGTCGTTTACAATTTTCTAACAGCTCTTCAACACAGGTCACTTAAATAAATTCTACACCAACGGTTCCTTTTGTAGTTTTTCCCCGCGTTTCACGGGATAAGATGTCGCATAATGATGTCTAAACACTTAAGAAAACGTCTTGTAAGAACAATGATATTATCAAAGATTTTTTTTTAATATATACCTAGTTATATTAATGAGCAACAGGTAATGAAAAATAATTATAAAAAATATTATATGCAAAGACATAGAAATAAAAATAGATAAATATACAAAGACTAACTGACCACGAAAACTTTGTTTTGTCATATAATTAAAAGCGATATTAAAAAATTGGGGTTCATGCTAGAAGGCTGAAAATTTTGGGTTGTATGTATTATTCAATCCTAAATAATAATAAAATGAAAATAAAATATTGTCGAAAAAATAAAAAAAATATATTTACGGGTGGATATCTCTTACCACTTAGGGGTATGAAAAATAGTAGCCGATTCTCAGTCCTACTACTACTGAATATGCATATAAAATTTCATAAAAATTGGTCAAGCCGTTTGGGAGGAGTATGGTAACTAACATTGTGACACGAGAATTTTAAAGATTAATTAATAAAACTTCATTCATTAAATTTAAAATTGGAATGTCTTACCACTTGCCATTAGAAAAAAAGAAGTAGCATCAAAACATTCCTTCAAAATCGAAATTTAAAAAAAAATTGATATAAATACAAAATAGGAAACAACAAAGAATTAATAAAAAATCTTCATTCTGTAAAATTTAAATTTGGAATGTCTATTATTATGAATACTGTCCGTATAAACGTTACGACTTTTCATTAGAGAAATAGAAGTAGAATCGAAACATTAAGTACTTGAGAATCGAAATTTAAAAAAAAATATTGATATGAAGACAATATAGAAAACTAAAGATATTCCGAATTCAAATGTATAGTCATTTTAATTTGAGCTAAATAGTAAATTCGATAACTCATGTTGGTACTCGTGTATTTTTTTTATTACTATGTAGTTTTAGGTATTTGGTTTGTAATTAAAATGACTATACATTTGAATTTGGAATATCTTAAACCAAAGATATTCCAAATTCAAGTGTATAGTCATTTTAATTTGAGCTACATAAATAATCAAATTCAATAACTCATGTTGGTACTCGTATATTTTTTTTATTGCTACATATGTAGTTTTTATTGGTATTTGGTTCTCGATATAAATTCTCATTATCGATTACTAAGTCAATAAATAAATATTTTTTTTTTTTATATGAGACAACTATCACTTCTATATGACACATATCCCTATGGGATACAGTTACATCAATAAAATAATTGAAATTAATTATAGCAAGTAAGACAAACTCGATATTGTCTACTAAGAACTGCCGTGTCTAAACTGTGTCACCCCATCTTACACTTCCCTATTGTTATTTAATATATAAGATCAATATTTTAATATATAGAATAATATTTTTGCAACATTCATTTAACGGAAAAATCTATATGAATGATATCACGATATGATTTCATTCTTCTTGTACTGAGAAATCTCAGTCTATTTTTTTTTTTTATTGATGATAATGAAATGGTGCACCCGCCTGCGCTAACGGTTTACGCTGGCGGGGCACCAGTGGAAGATGATATGATGAGCATGAGGTCAGGTCAGTTAGCCCATCGTGACAAATTCACCAAGAATTTATCACGATGGTTTCCAAGGGGAACCGCGTGGAGGTCTACCTGACATGGTACATTGCTAGCAATAAGACCACATTACTAACAATCCCCTTTCCCCCCTATCTCAGTCTATTATAATCTGTAATATACAACGTCTCAGCCGACAACATCGTATTATTACCCGCAACAGTCTCCAAATCATTAAAATGCTTGGCGGAGCAACGTAGCTTAAATTAAGACATTAAATTACTGGATATAGGGGGTTAACTTGTTTTACGCTAATAACAGTAATACAAAAAAAATGAAATCATACCAAAAATATTATTCTTGGATATGGATATGTAATATATCCAAGAATAATATTTTTGCAACATTCATTTAACGGAAAAATCTATATGAATGAAATCACGATATGATTTCATTCTTTTAATTTGGTCTTTAGATTCATATACAAGATCTCATATACAAGATTAATATTTTTGATGTATGACGTCATAGACATTACTTTCTTATTTTAATTACAACATATTGTTACATCTAACTATTAACTAGACATTTCCCGTCACTTCGTCCGCATTTTTGAGTAAAAGATAGCCCATATCTTTCCTTAGGATACGCTATATCTTAACACTACATTTCACTGGATTTTTTTCAGCTGTTTACTACTTAAAAGGTACGAAACATACAGACAAATATATGTAAAGACATTAAAAATTATAATATGTATTATTAAGAAATAAACATTTAAATAAAAGAAGAATTAATATAAAAAATATTCATTCATAAAATTTAAAATTGGAATGTCTATTATAATGAATACTGTCTGTATAGACACGACAACTTGCCATTAGAGAAAAAGTGAGAATCGAACATTTTATTGAATTTCAAAATTCAAAATAATATGTCCATAAAGAAAAAGAAAGAAATAATAAGATAGAAACTAAAAATATTCCAAATTCAAATCCTTTTTAATTGGGTAACTACATAGTACAAAATTTCACATTTACTACAGTGTACTTAATAGATAATAGATAATAGAATAGAATTATCAGATTGACTGATATTCACTTGATATTTACATTGACACTGCCAGCTTCGTTGTTCCAGTGTACTGTGTTCCTTAGCCCGTAACAAATTAAATTACAAAGGCCTCTCTGAAGCAAAATAGTGACGTAGAGTAACTATGGAATATGCTTGGAGCTATAATTAATTATGTATTTTATGAAAGAGCTTGTGTAATGTAGGAAGAATTAAGTTATAACGAAATGAGACTGTAATCTATGTCATAATTACGAAGGTTGCTTTTCGTTTGTTTCGACTTGAAATTAAGAATATTTATTTTGTAGGACGTTTTCGCTCGTGAGATTTTTACTATTTTTTTTAAATTAACGTTTACTTGAAGTAATGTTTGCAGATGACTTTCTACAAAATCTACTTTGTATAATAAGTAATAATGATGGAGATATTCAGTAGATATATAGTAAATATAATTATATTATTACATATTTATATTGACCATGGATAGCATAAAATATAAATGTAACACAAAAATGCCAAAGAAAAAAGTTTCATTCATTCATTCATTTCTAGCTTCAAAAATGACGAATTTTAGTACAAACTTATATCCTTTACTTTATTTTATCCCCTGAAAAGTATTTCTTTTACAAATTTTGAATGTCTTTGAACTTATTTTTTAGGCTGTCCATAAATTTGAAAAGTATTTCTTTTACAACTTTTGAATATCTTTGAACTTATTTTTTAGGCTGTCCATAAATTTGTAATTTATCAACAGCCTAAAAAATAAGTTTCAAACTGCTAGCTTAAAAAACGATACAATGATACTTCCATACAACATTTCATCTCCCCTTTGAACCCCTTACAATCCTTTTGCCACATTAAAAAGTATCCTATATCCTTTCTCAGGATTTAAACTACTTGTGTACCAAATTTAACTTCAATACAACTTTCAATATAAATTTCCATTCTACAGAATATCTTCACCATAATTACCCCTATTAACAGCTATTTTTGACAACCCTGTAACATTTTTTTTCTTTTTCAGTGACGTCACCAGGCTCATCCGCCAAGCTGCAGGCGTGCCAACCACTATTACTGTTATATATAATTTTATTTGCAAATAATACATAAATATTGTATGTACTGTATAAATAATTATAATAGATAATAAATAGGTACATAAGTAGATGTATACAGTCTGTGGGAGAAATTGTGAATTTAATTACAGTTAACTGTACCTAAACGAGCTGCTAACTATACCAAAGAATGTAAAGACTAAGAATATTGTTGATTTAATACAAATTATATATGTCCAATATATTTGTTTTATTTTATACATTTCTTATATATCACAAACCAAAAGAATATGACACATAGAACAAACATTTCCTTGGTAATCTAGATATGACGTAAAAAATATTTATTTATTTATTTATATACTCTCTATTGCACCAAGAAAATTACATTAATTAAAATTAAGAGTATACTAAATCGCTTTTATTCAATCTCTTCCAGACAACCTTTGGGTAGAGGAGAGTTTTATAATTATTGCAGTTGTTACATTCATTTCATATATGTATGTTTCTTTTTGTTTTCGCACAAGTCAATAAAATATACTATGTGTTAATTAAGTGAAACCTATAGTAGCTTTAAATTAGCACATGCATAATAGAAATCAGTTGAAACTTAGGATTTCTAATAAATGTAAAAAAATCATATCAAAATCCGCTGCGTCATTTGCCGAATATTTATTAACATTCTGTTGACCGCAAATGGCCTATACAGATTCACAGGGTAAAAATGGTAGCGAGAGCAGGGTCTCCATACCCACGCGCCGGCACCGCTTAAGGTCCAAGCCTCGGCTCAAGCCGTCGTGATTTGATCCTTTGAATGGGCTAGGAAAACGATTGGAGTTGGTCTTGCGTGATTTAAAAGAAGTAGGTAGTACCACAGATAACATAATTGTAGTACTAAACAGTTTTTACTGTTAATTATATTGATACTTAATTAGTAGCACTGAATAGTATATAAAATATTGATCCTGTTGGACTATACTCCTCAATGAAAACTGCTTCTAAGTTTTACATTGTCTATTGAATTGTTTCATCATTTCCTTACGGACTATTTTCTCTTTGAAAGGAAGTAATAAAATACTAAGATCTGAAACGAGTTTGTACGACTTTTGTTCTAATTTTAAATAACTTCTAGAAAATTAACATTTTCATATTTCGAACTCATTCAATGTTCCATGTATAAATAAATAATTCAATTTGAGTGAAACTTGACACTAATTGTTGATTTTACAATATTATGCAGAAGAGCAATAGAGACATAAATACTTTGCTAAATACACACAATATCAAACCTTATTGCTACGAACATACATTATACATTTCAAGTAATCTTAAAACGATTGTGAATTAATTATTAGGCTAAATAACGCTCGTTTCACAAGCCACAACAATTTGTAATGTGTGTTGTCAAAGAGAATTTCAACATGTTTTCAAATTGTCGATCTTCCTTCAGTGTATTCTATTTATATTATTAAAATCGATATGTATTTTGATAACATTTTCCAGTATATTGGCTTATTAATAGGTCAAATAGATAGTTTTACCTTTAATAACGCTGTTACACGTGCGTGGATACCCAGCGAGCCATTTATATGTTGTAAACTGTATTTAGTCATTCACCGACATAGTTGGAGTACAGTTTGGAAGCCTAGTTGCCTGGTTATTGAACAATCAACATTAGGCTTCCAAACTGTATCCAAAGTCTATTCATTGTTTGATAATGCCTCCTAGAGGCAAAACACGTGTCACAATGTAGGTAGATTCAATAACGGCCGCAATTTGTTCACCAATGGGGAAGGTAACACTTCCAGTGACGGTGATCGGTTTCCGCGCTGTATATTTGTGATCTCATATATACTAATGGTAGCGGGATTTGACATCATCATCCTCCTAGCCCATTTGGAGTCAGCCCTACTAGTGTCGTAAAACGACACTCTTGGCAGTTTGGCTCGTTTCAGGTGCCAAACCCTTCGTCAAAATATTCCTCTGAATGATTCTAGCCCAAGTGTTCTAACTCTAAGTTCTAACTTGAGCGACGACGGTGGTGTGGGCATACTTGTCTTCGACAAAGGCCAACACTTTTCTGCTTACTAATAGCGAAATTAAACGAAATAATATAAATCCATTAATTAAGTAAGGATCAGAATTTTTTGCCTTAAATAATTTAGCCTTAAAACATTTAGTTCAGTTCGGATTAATATCATCTGCTGAGTTTCACCACCGTATCCCTAAGAAAATAAAATACCATCTGGATGAATAGCGGCCCTCCACAGTGCGGTTTTATAGAAACTTTTTGCCACGCACAACCACATTATGGAATCACCTTCCGGCAATACCATTACGAATCCAAATCGATACGGTATTGAAATCTTTAAGAAAAGAGCTTATTCCTTCTTAAATGGCTACCAACGCACTTGCAATTATCCTGGTGTTGCGGAGATGCTCGTGGGCGGAGGTGAGACGTAAGCAAAAAAGCGGTTTCTCATAATAAAACTCAATTTAGCTTTTTAAACTCGTTCATTATCATAGTATTAATCAATATTTTGTACATGAATGAAAATGTCCTCGTATGAATAGCTTAATATCTCATATTTGTATGAGGTTTATAGTATGGTTAGCATCCTAGACTTCGTATAAATACGCCTAATCCGTTTTCAGTGTAACTGCCAGGATTGTTAGCAATGGAGTCTCTATTAATTTTTATGAAGTATAACCATCGAACTTGATGGTCCAGTGGTTCGTTTTTTCGGATGTCGAGAATTCGATTCCTTACATGGTGCAAATACTTTTATTCATAAGTACGATTGTTTGTATGCTATGTACGATTAAAAAGAAATTAATTATTTCTAAGAATTGTCTATTACTTATAACAGAAACTCTGTTTAGCTTAGGCCAAGATGACGCTATATAAATTATCCAGAATTATCATTTCGTTCTTTACTATGAAAGACCAATTAAGAATTTGGATTATAATCAAAGCAGCAGTAATCTCCTGTATACATTAGTTAGTTGATATAATTAGTCTTTCGTTGAGTTTTAATGTAATTTATATATAATTTAAATTACGTCTATAGAAGTAATCTCATAAATAACAGTAGATATCTATAAAGGGACTGATAAATTATGTTAACAACTTTCATTACCAAGTTTTGGAACCTCTGCATGTTTTATAGCATCATTTATGCCCTACTGGTGGGTAAAAGCCTTCTCCGCATGTCTTAGCACCTCTGTATCTTGAGCTTGGTCAGACTTTATAGCATTATCTGTTAATATTCAAATTAATTATCAATTTTTAATATTTCCATAATAGTAATTAAAAATCAAATGAAACGTTCAAGAAAAGAGCATGTCTATACTAATATTACGAAGTCTCGACTATTTACTTGCGTAGAAACTACTAGACTGAGTTCAAAAATTCTCTTATCAATAGAATCCTCATCCATGAACATAGACGATGGAATATTACAAAATATAAATCATTATATTGTGTACGCTGCGGTAATTGTTGACAATAGAGCAAAGTGATGTACGACAGGTTTATAGAGGACATCAATATCCACAAAAAAATTGTGCTACTACATGTCAAACTATTACAGTTATGTCACAATAACTACTTATTCTTGTTAAATTTTGCAATAGTATACCGGTACAAACTTATTCGTTACTTTTACAATTTATGAACTTTTTGTTAAGTACGCATTCGAATCACGGCGGACGCTAGTGTATATATAGTATGTATATTTTATATGCTAGCAATACTCCTATAAAGATTTAGTATTGCAGGTTCTCATGAGAAACAGTAATCATTTAACATTAGATTGAAACGCAAGATCGTTTGGCTATACCCAAAAACTTGATCTTTGAAGTTTTTCTCTCTCTCCCCCATTCAATTCAAACGGGGATCGAAATTACGACAGCCTGAGCTGAGATTCGAACCCCTAGCGGTAAACCTCAGATTAAAGTCGTATCAGTCACGCAGGAGTTGGCTTTCAGGTGTTCCATAAGTCCTCGTATTGTACACGTACTTACATTTTAGCTAGATCCCACAACTCTTGGTACGTGGATTTATTTTTAAAAGATATCCTATATAACAATCTAGGATACCTGTCTTTGTACCAAATTTGATTACAATCCAAACAACCGTTACCGCGTGAAGTAAATATCTTTTGCTTGCAAATATGTTACTGAAAAAAGGGGATGCATAATTTCATACAAAAAAACTACTAAGTGACACGATCTTGGTCAAAGCCACAACCATAATAAAGCTAGGTAGTCAGTGCATACTCATAAATTCAAAATTCATTGTAAAAGGAAAATCTGGAGGCACGCTTCGTTGGTTACATTAAAAACATTCTTTGTTTCATTTTCACAGACTTTTTCACAACTAGTTGAGTTTTGAAATAAGAATTTGTGTTCTTATTTTGAAATTTAAATAAAAACAAATTTAACAGTAATAATAATACTAAATGATAATACCGCCTTATGTACTTCATTACTATAGTTTCTGTATTATCTTTGTAATGTATTTCTGATGCAGCAGTTAATCTATATATACAAAAATGAATTGCTGTTCGTTAGTCTCGCTAAAAGTCGAGAACGGCTGAACCAATTTGGCTAATTTTAATCTTGAAATATTCGTAGAAGGTCACGGAAGGTTTAAACAGCGATAAAATATGAAGAAATTGTATGGAGTATAGTAAAAACAACAAGTTTATTTTTCCATACAAACTATCAAACAGGCTGCGCTCAGAATTTCATTCTGAGGCGGAACCAAGTTCTCCGGCTCAGCTAGTAAATAAATAAATGATCTTGGACAACTCAAAGAGCTCTATGAAGTTCTAAACTAAACTGAGCTTGTTATATACGCATTGGACAACTAATAGATATTTTTACATACATTAATGATAGAATATACTTAGAAAAATACACTATATACCAATACAAATCGGTATAAGAATATAATTGTAGTAAAACTCCAAGATAGCTCATAAATTATATTTCCTTTTCGTTAAGTTAGCGACGATCTTCTTAGCATTCTTAGTTCCATGGAATGCTAAGAAGATCGTCCGAGTGCCGGGTTCTTGGAAGAGAAACTCCAAGTGCCCGAGGCATATAGTACGGATGTAGGTTTAAAGGGGCTTTTTAGAATACATTAACTCTCACACTTACCACTGGTGCCATTTTCCCTGCTACCCTAAATCC